ATATATATATATATGTATATACTACTATATATATATATACATATATATATATATATATATATATGTACTTATTTCTTACCAAAAATATTGTGTCATATCGTGTAGGGATTCCAAGGCAGAGGCAGTCCTCGCACACCCTGACTACACAGATATCCTAGTACCAATCGCTTCTCGCCTTGAGATACCTCTCATACCACTTGCCAATCACATCAATCAATGGTATGTTAATTTGTGTGAATAGTCGCATATTCAATCCTTTTTGTATATGTTGTTGATCGTTTATTTCTGTCTACACGTCTATGTGTGTATACAAGTATGTTGTCCCTATTTGCCACCAGCCTGTCTCATCAGACAATGGCATGTAGAATACCGATGCATCCCGACGTATACACTCTTAGTCTTGCCAGTCTGTGTCCATTTGTCTGTGTGTGAACATGAGTCTGCGTATATATAAATGTCTGTGTACATACCCAAGGATGTTCCAATGCCTTGGCTACGCATTAGCCCACCAGCTGCATTCTCTTGTTACCACTGGCTGACTATGCCACGTACCATTGTATATCAGTATATTGTGCGGCCCTCTCGTTGGCGGTACTTGTTTTTGTTTGTTTCTAGTATAGATACTCATGGTAGGTTCAAACATGCGCCTCAGTGTGAGCGTTTTTATTATATAGTCATATGAATTCTAAGTTATCCTTATTTAGATGTTGAGTGTTTGTCTACAATATATTAACGTATATATTTCCATAATTGTACCGGAGGTTTAGAATCCTACATACCCCTGCACTACACTCAGAAACAAAGTCAAAGCCTCATTTTATAACACCCCAGAGCTTGCATGGTAACTAATACTACTACTCTGGTACGGTTTCGAAAGTACCTTCAAACCAATCTCTGACCCAATAGTATCAAGAGTATGAAACCTACCTACAATTCGGTTGGGAGGCGATGGATGTTGATCTTAGATCATTATTTGTATTGGAATTTGCACTATCGATATGCACTGATTTTCCTCTTGACAACATAGGCGCGATGGAGGGCACAAAGCTGATGCGACAGTACAAACCACGCGACCTGCCGCTAAGAACGCTCTAATCGTGTACACAAGGTAAGGTGTCTTTATATGAAAGTCTGGGGTGTTTATCTGACGCTCTAATCGTGTACACAAGGTAAGGTGTGCTTATATGAAAGTCTGGGGTGTTTATCTGACGCTCCAATCGTGTACACAAGGTAAGGTGTGCTTATATAAAAGTCTGGGGTGTTTTTCTGACGCTCTAATCGTGTACACAAGGTAAGGTGTGCTTATATGAAAGTCTGGGGTGTTTATCTGACGCTCCAATCGTGTACACAAGGTAAGGTGTGCTTATATAAAAGTCTGGGGTGTTTTTCTGTCGCTCTAATCGTGTACACAAGGTAAGGTGTGCTTATATGAAAGTCTGGGGTGTTTATCTGACGCTCTAATCGTGTACACAAGGTAAAGTGTCGATTCGAAAGTCTGGGGTTTATCTGATATTGTGTATCTGTCCACTATATCAAAAGTGCCACAACTCCGACGAATAATCCATCCTGTCATGACGTCCAAGCGTAGAACACAGAACGGCGCCATCCGCCGACGTAGGGGTGTGTTGTATTTGCATACATTTAAACGCAGTTGATGAAGTATATACGTTGTTGCCCACATACAACAACTAATATATAAATAGGTCTGCTTACTTATATGATCACTTGTATGAAACTATTAGCGGAACCACTGGCAAACCCAAAGGCGTGCTCTTGTCGCATGGTAATGTGGACCACCAGATACGAGGCTTGGTCGAGGCCTGGCACTGGCAACCCACTGATCATCTGCTGCATGTACTGCCCTTGCACCATGTGCATGGCATTGTTGTAGCGCTGCTAGGTATGTACTCGTGTGATCACTTGGAGTTTCTATATTGGGCCTTGTTATTAAATTATGTGATTTCTTTTAGCATCCCTTGGACAGAGGCTTCCGTATGTTAGTTGGTTCTGTCGATCATCTTGGCTGTGTGTGAAGTGAACTATCAAATGCAAAGCTATGCCTGCGACTATTCAAATCTTTTGTATATACTGCCTTGCAATATGTGGGTGTCATTGTTATTGCAGCGCTCACAAGTATGTTGGTGCTGTTAATTTTCTTCTGTATTCAAAAACTGTGCGTTTCTGCATTGTGGCGTATCTCAATCGGGGATGACTGTGGATTGGCAAGGCCTGACTTGTATATATCTAGGCTGTGTGCGAACAGGTTTCTAGGTTGTGTGCAAAGTGCATTGCCCGATACGAAGCTGCGCCTGGCAACCCACAGACCACCTGCTGCTTGTACAACTCTTTGTATGTATGACAAGTTGAAAGTAAATGAGATGAGTTCTGGTGCGTATATGCTTGGTTGCGATTGGTGAGTGGCCATCTATACACTACGTGCCTGTAGATGCTGACAGTGTGTGTGATCATACTGTTCCAATGTTTTAGAGTGCGTGTGTTTGTCCCATATGCCTGCTACTGGTTTACCCGTTTCTTCAATCAGTACGGCAGGATGGAGAAGAAGTGCTATTAAAACGTTCTAGGTGAATGGCGTATCCTATTCGCTTTCGGAATAGTACATCCACTCTCTTGTTAGTAGGGCAGACTCCCAACAGTGTAATAGCATGAGAAACAAACATTCCATGTCTCACTTTCTGTTCGAATTGTCGCCCTGCAGGCGCTCTCTATTCCGGTGCTATATGCGAGTTTCATCCAGGTAAATCAATGAACTAATGACCTCCAAGGCCGGAAGCGTTAAGAGGGCTTGCTATATATATATATATATATATATAATATAGTATATATATAATATATATATATATATATATATGTGTGTGTGTGTGTATACTAATATATACAACATAGAGAATGTGCGAGACTATTACTGACGTAACTATTCTAGAATGTGTGCATAGTATCTCGTCCTTNTATATTAGTGTAGTAGTAAGT